AGGGGGGAATTCACGTGACGGACATCGGCGGATAGGAGGAGGCGGGCGAAGGACAGGGAAAGGGAAAAGGAGGGAAAACGGGTTGGCCGTGGCGGGGGGGGGAATGGTAGTGGTGTGACGCGAGAAAGGGTTTGATCCGCCTCTGTAAAGTAGGGAGAAAGAGGATTTATACATGCCTATTGGACGGCGGGGTGCCGGGTGGGTGTGGTTTGCGCGCTTTTCGAACACGCCACGCTAGCCCAACGCGACAGCCGGAACACCTGTCCCCCCTCCGCCATCTTTGTTCTATTCGACATCGAACCTCTCCCTATTGGACTAGACATTATATCCCTTACATGCCCATTTCAGATATTGTACAAAGCACGTACGGCACAAGGCGGTAGGTAGTTATGTAAGCCAAATCGATTCAACCTTATTGTCCTGTACAGCACCCAAGGGTACAATCAAGTAACCGAAACCCCGCTCTCTTTCTCGCTCCTCCTGTCTCACCCCTCCTCTTCTCCACACGCCCGCAATGCTCTCCTTCACCTCACCACTTCTCCCATCTCATCTCCGAATACCTCGCCCAACCGCCGTCCGAGTCGTCTGTAATCTCCAATCCTCGGATCCCGCGAGCGCCCTCGACGATGTGTCCCCCTCCGTGAAGCTGAACGCCGTGGCCGAAGCTCTGGCCCGCCGCCGCGACTACCCTGCCGCCATCCGCCTGCTCCAGGAAATGTCCACTGCTAAAGTATCCCTCGACCCGCAAGCCCTCTCCACCATCGTCGACTCCGCTGTCCTTGCCCCGAACGCCCTCGCCTCCCTGCTGCGTACAGCCGCCCCGCCGGGGTACGCCTCCCACACCCTCCCGTCCGCGACCCATCCAGACCCCCACCCAATTGACCCAGAACGACCAGCTGATCTTTCCCTCGCCGTCTCGTTTCTCGTCCTCGTCACTGGCGCCGTTTCAGCAGAGCTTCTTGAACCCCCGCTGGTTCACCACTCTGCCGATGAAGCTACTTCAGTCCTGTTATTGCTGTTTACCGCTTTGTTGTTTGACAGGTATGCAGCAGCGGCCTCTACATGGCAAAGGATTTCCGCGGGGCTTGCCCGCATTTTCGCTGACGATCCCGTAAGGACCGCCCGCGTTGATGCCGCGCATTTCCTTGTCGCCTATGTCTTGGGACTGCCGTGGATGTGCTTCAGGCCGGATCCCAAGCAGATCATTAAGTTTCATTCATCGCGCCACGGTGAAGGGAGCAGCTCCGACATCCAGATCGTTGACGACATGTCCGATGCCGAAATGGACATCTACTTGGTCTGGCTGGTGGCTGGCGTCGCTTTCGAGGACGCCCAAGATGGCAAGCTTATAGATTCCAACTTGAAGGGCGCCCGCGCCTTACTTCGAGCTGTCACTCGCGCGAGACGGAAGCGAGGAACCACCGAAAGCGAGGATGAACTCGTACGGTCACATGATAGAATACAAACGGCGCTCGCGCATGCAAACGAAATTCTAGAACGATACCACCTCACGCATACGAAAATTGCGGAGAAAATGCTCAAAGGTGGCTCGGTTGGAGAATGTGTCGTAGAGGTCGCCGACGCATTTACGTAGGGGCTTGCTTGCTTCTGAGGCTACAAATACCACATGGGTATCCTCGATGTGACCGAACCCTCAGTAGCTGGACGCGGCAGGGTCTCCTCAAGCAATTGGCGTCCGCGTTCATCTTTTAGTAACATCACGGGGCGGATTCTTTATTTGCAATGACCAGGGGCCGCATGCACCCCTTCCCCCGGCACATTTTCCTTCCCTGGTTTGACGGGGGCAACCTTTTTCGGTGGCTCCGCCTGGCTCTCAACCTTACTGTCCTCAGAGGTCCCCTTTACGTCCTGCCCACTGCAAGCGTTTTGCAAGACGTCCTTCTTCATGGCCTCCCGCCGTTGACGTATCAGTTCCCTCATGGAAGGGTTCCCCTTCCTTGCAGCCAAGCCTTTTGGCTTCATAACGCTCCCCGCCTTGATTCCGGTCCCTTTCTTCCCGGAACTACGTTTGGCTTCTAATCGCGTCACGACTTCCTTTGGTAGGGAACTTTTTACTTTGTCCCAGTTTTTGCCTCCAAAAACTTTCCTGAACGTATTCGCAAGCTCTAGGGCACCTTCCCGTACAACTGGAGCACGATCCACTGCACCCACCGTTAGCGCACTAGCGACTTGATCCGAAATATATGTGCATGCGCCGATCTTCTCAGTAGCAGTGGCTAGTGTGTCGAGGGCAAGTCGTCTTGCTGCTGGATGGCGAGAGTCTTTCGCTACGCCTGCGATAGTATCAAAGAGAAGACCCTCCGAGTGTCCTTCAATGACAGCTTTTGCAGCCGTACGGCGAGCCTCGGCCATAACCTTTTTCGAAACGCTGACGCCTGCAGCGGCACTACAGAAAACTTCAGCAGCTTGTTCTGCCGAGAAGAGTCGCCTAGATGCAACACATGCAATGGCTTCGGAAGCGCTGACCACAACTTTTGAGCGAAGGTCCCCGAGCTGTTTGGAAAGCCATGTTGCGAGCGGTTCGATATTAAACTTACTGGGATTTTCGCAGAGGGATTGTAGGGCTTGCACTCTCTCGTTCCAATCGTTTTCCAAAGAATCCAGAGTCTGTAATGGGTGAGCTTGCGTGATGACTTGCGATGGCTGGGCTGGAACCTGTAGTTTAGACGCCAAGCGGTCGGCAGCGTCCAGGTGCATGCGAAGCTTCTGTCGGATAACAATTGCCGACTCATCCTGTGCTGCAGCCTCAGAAAGGAGACGACGCCATTCACGAGTCTGCGGCCTGCGTGCCTTTGCGGCGCGTGCCGGCGTGTCGAGTGGTCGTGGCATGTCGATGAGGACGACCAAACGTGGCTTCAAGCTTTACTCGCAGTTAACATAAACTTTGTACGACAAGTCAAACCAAGCCCAGATGCAAGCCTTTGTCCGCGCCGAGAGCCTCTTGTGGAAACCGGTCCGCACAGGAAGCGCTGGCCTTGTTGCGGCGAGGTTGCGCATCACCGTATCAAATGCAAGGAAGATTTTGAACTGCTTGATTTCCCCCCAAAAACGCACACGTGGACATACTCAAATTTTCAAAAATAATGTCGGTGAGTGTCGGCAGACGTACATTCCACCAGCTACGTGATGATTGGCGGAAGCCGCTGTGGTCCTTAGCTCGGAGCAGGACCACACTCTGTAGCGCTTTATTATTACTGTACAGTAGTTGAGAAAGGACAAGATGGTTTCATTGAAAGAATCGTGTTTTGAAGGGAATCACATCGAAACTTTCGTGTACAAGCAGGGAGTTCATGTTGTCCAACCTAATCTCCGAGGCTTTCCTGCGTCAACTCTGCACAGTAGCAGACAATATTCGTATCCAGACCAGCCCCTGGGGCTGACGCTGAGGTCTTTCGAAGTCCTATATACTGTAAATTACTGTATTGCTCTTGATTCACATCTCCTATGGGTGACCCCACCGCCAACAAAATTTCTGTCCTAAAATTCCAACCACTAAAGTTTGGACCGATGGACTAAAGTTCGGACCGATGGAAGAAATTTTGAACCCCACCGCGCCACCATTTGTCCTAAAGTTTAGAATTTGGGAAGGATTCTTTTCCAAACCAAAATTATTTGGTCGAGATTTTTGTCCAAAGCGCCGTTTGGGCGAGCTTCGTTCTATAGTAACGGTACAGAAAACATCTGAATTTCATGTGCTTACAGCTCTACCAAAGCTCTTCCAAATGGCTTTGGGGCTGTTTTGACTGAAGTCCCATCAATAGTGTGGGACGCAAAAAGGAGTGTTGTGCAGCCTTCGCTCGTGGACATTTCCCATCTTCTCCCTCCTTCTCGTCTTCTGAGAAGTGCAGGCAATGGCTGAGGTGGTTACTAGGACTGATGACTCGGCATTAAGAGTGAGGAAAAAGGGTAAGGGACTGGGGTGGTCAGACGAGGAGAATCTTGCCCTGTGCGTTGCTGAGAGCGCAGTGTCTGAGAACGCCGCGAATTGAAAGCGTGGTGTACTTGCCGAGTTGATAATTCCCAAACAGGAGCCTACATATTATGGAGAGCGGGCAAGTGACGAGCAAAAGTTGCCGCCAATTGTGGAACAGACGCGTGCATTAGCTTGCTTCTTTGCGCCAAATGTATTTCTACGACATACTTGTAGCCTAATTGGGGTGACCCTGAATATGAATAGATGTATCGTGTTACAGGCGCGGTGGGGTTCATCTCTGAATCACCACCTCCCCCAAAGCGCGGCTTGATTAAAAGATAGTAGATCCAATTACCGGAGGACAACTGTCTGCTTTTTGCGATTTTGGGCAAGGCGCGGTGGGGTCACCCTAAGGTACCCTTTAAGGGTACTATTTACGAAAGCGTTTTCTGCTTCGCACCGCCAGTCATATCTTTTCCTCAGAACGTAACACTCCCGCCCTAAAGGGCGTTTACTCTTCAGGGTAACACACAGTATCATTCTGCCCATGAATAGAAGGCTGCCGTGCATCTAACAAATATCTTTCAGCTCTGCAGTACTGCACCAGTTTTCTTTCGCCACTGGGCTTAAACGGAGCCCACTGCCAAGCTCAGAACGAAACCTTTTCAAATCCTCTGTAAAAGACGGAGATTTCATATCTAGGACAAGAGAACCCGCATCGTCTTCAAATCCAGAAGAGCTGCTTGATTCATTGAGAGTGACAGCTTCAATCATTTGAACCTCCATTGGTGATAACATCACGGGTTTGCAGTATTCTGCAGCTTGTTTCTTCATAGGGACCGGATCATCGCATGCCTCAATTATGTAGCTTAATGCTGCATCTTGCCTAGGACATGTTACGAAGCAATTCGTTATCTCCATGTCATCGTGACACCAATCTTCAAATCCATCCATTCCCTCAAGATTGATTTTCCCAGTTGCTCTGTCTAATGGAAAAGTTTTATCATAATCCCTCACTTGCATTGCTTTGGCAACTACATTCCTCAGCGCTGTTTCAATAAAGTTCTGCGTTACCGGATTGTTTGACGCGATATAGCACAAGGCACTCACTTGCTCCACGAGTGCATCCGACAAGCCTGACGAGTCTAACACCTCCTTGCATTGACGATGAGGAGAAGGGATTTTGATTGGTTCCCCTCCAAATTGCTTTTCGACCACGTTCATTTGCCTTGAGGGTGAAAGTTGGATGAAGATAGAATATTTACGTGGGACATCGAATGATTGTGAAGAGGAACAGACATCGTTTGTGTGAAGTACTCAATTTATTCAGAGAATTTCTATTTGCCATGGCCTTTCTGTTCAACGGCAAGTCAGCCCTTCTTGAAACGTCGTTCGGCTTCTGCTTCAATACACTGGAGGAAACCCAACGTCCTCCAAATTGGTTACAAAAACGATCAAATGTGAAGATAGAGTACGGTCGATAGCCAGCTCTGAAACGTTTGCCATGACTTGGACAGTGCTTTAAGCCGTTTCATGCCGATTTATGAGCAGCATATTGAGACCGAATTACTAAATATGCACATCAGCGGTACTTCCCGTTGCCAAAGACAGCCAAACGCAATAGTTCTGAACGGTTTTGGTGCTCATCGTCAGGGTGACTCCCCGGCTCCTTGACGAACATAACGCCTACAAGTATGCTTGTCGTATTTTTTGCCAACTTCGGAAGGTGAAGTCTGCAATGCCTGTACACGTGTCACATGTGGAGAAGATGGGACAAAAAGGGAGACCTCCCGTTTTTTGTTTTATGGAAATTTCCATGGCCCCAACGTATTATCCATTCAATTCCCCAGGTCCCAGTCGATGCACACCAACCAAACGGGTCGTGGGTTTTCGACTCACGCCAGAGACGCTATTGCGACCCACTCACATCCAGCTCTCCACACGCTCGCTTCTCAATCACATTCTTCGACCTGCCCCCTACCAACGGACCGCTCGTCGTTTTCATCTGCCACGATATTGCTTCGAGGGATCACAAAAATGGCATCAATGATGAAGGAGATCGCAAAACGTTCGGCAAACATGGTCGTCAAGGGGAGCACGCCAGAGGCATGGGAGACAACTTCCAAACTGCGATCGCAATACCTCTACACCACGCTTGACTCCATGCCAGCCCGATTCGCTGATGCATCCAAGGAATGGGCTTCCCTTCGAGCCAAGATCATGTCCAGAGACTTCACGATTAACGACATCGGTGTTGGAGCTGCTCGCGCGGCTGAAATCTACGCGTTCTACATCGTGGGACGAGTACTCGGCAGTAGATCGTTCAGTACCTAGGCTGCGGACTGAGGAAATCCGAGGACCAGCGCATCTGGTATCGGCGGCGTTACTTCAAACTTTGCCGGCTCTTGCGATGAGGATATGTAAAACACCATTGTTCCCCGTCATCATCAAGGCGCACTTTTCGCTGGAATGTCTGTCCATTTTCTGCCCCTTATCCACCTATGGTGAGTTGAAAACGTTATTCGCGAGAATCTATTTATAATTACAACACGAAACGCCTAACCCCTTGCAACTTGAGAAAGTCGTCCAACGTTTCCAACCACTCGTCAAGTTCCCTGAGCACCCCAGCTTTCTTCCTCCCCTTTGCCTCCGCACGTAGTTCCAGCAAATGGCCCATCGACTCAGCCGCTTTGTTCTTTAGCAAAGCCGCATCCCCTATATCAACATTCTCCTGCGTGCCGACCGCTGCCATCGCGAGACGAGCAGGCTCCAGCCAAATTGGGATGAAGCGGAGCACATACAGCTGGTCGTCCTCGCTCATATCTTCCTTCCAGCTGGATGCGACAATCTTGAGATCCTGTGCTTTGGCGCGACCCAAAGATACCCTCGCTACATTTTTGCGGACTTTTTTCTCATATGTGCTCTCAGATCGTGCAGGCGTCGGGAGAACGGTGGTAGCCAGCGCAACGGATGCTAGCTGCAGAATACGGCGCCTTGTCGCATCGGCGGCGAGACAAGTTGGCGTTTGTCTGCAGAGGCGGGGAATTGAGGTGGGTTTTCGTGTGGGAACGGATGTTGCGGCGAGGAAGGCGGCAGCTAGTCTGGGCAAGGAAGGGCGGTGCTTTCTGAGCGACCAATGTAACAAGTCCTGATCCATCGATGAATTGAGCAGGACTGCAGAAGCGTTATGAGGCGTGGGAGATGCGCAAAGAGTCAAGAAATATGGCCCAGCCAGCGATCAGCCGTCTCAGTAGCACAGCTGACTTTTTAAAGTCTGTTTAAAAATAGTCTTGCCTCAGAATGTTCATCTGAACTTCAGATTCTGAGCACAATAATCTCTACAGTGCACACCTTTTCCACAGGTCATTCTGGGAGCCTTAACATGATAGCGGCCCTATTGGAGGAGAAGCCAAGGCTTCATGATCCGATGTTGGGATCGGCTCTGGGATGTAAAGAAGAGATGGCGCTGATCGTTCTCTAGGGTTGGTTGATCTCTTTCTGAGATTTTTTGCGTCACTGGAGCTGGTGCCAGGCAGCACAAAACGCGCCTTCGAGCTCATGCGGAGATGCACGTATGATCACTGTGCAACGCTCCCCTCACGCATGCTCCTCCCATCCACAGTTCATCCAGTGCATTGCCTCCTCATCAGGCTTAACTTCCCAAACGCCCGTTTGCCCGCATCTATCTTCACCAAATCCCTCACCTTCGCCATTTCCGACACAATCTCTACCAACACATCCAAAATGGCTCCAGCTTTTGCTGCTTCCCCAGCAGTCTCGTCGCACTCGTCCTTTGCACGTAACTCGTTTAAGTGCCCCACTCCGTCTACTACCGCAGTTACCATGTCCGCCGCATCTCCGATGTCGCGGCGAAATGCGCTAGCTGCCGCCGCTGCCTTAGTTACTGGGGCCGTTTTCTCCCCACTGGCCGCATCTGCGAAGAGCGGCGACTCCCCAAAGATTTCCATCTTCGGCGTTGGTGGAGCCTCGTCACCTTTCACCGCGGGTGTGCAGACAAGTGGCAAGGTTCTTTACAAAACGTTTGGCGACGCCGAGGTAGATGTGTTTAAGAGAATTGTGACTGATTCAAAGGACAGGCTTGAAGGCTCGGTTGATTCCATCAAAATCAAGAGCTGGGACGACATCAGAGGTCAGCTTCGACTTCAAAATGATCTGCGAAAGACTCAAATTACGGTCAACAGCGGCATCTCCGATCCGAAACAGGCTGCGAAGGCCGTCAAGGCCTACCAGAATTTCAAGACAGACATCGAGCGCCTTGACGCCGCCTGCGTCCAAAAGAATCAAGATCAAGCCTACAAGGCCCACAGAGCCTCGGTGGCCAGTCTTTCAGCCTGGCAGGACACCGTCGGGTTTTAAGCCCACAGTCAAATGTATCAGTCGCTTTCCTCCGCGGTATTGCTGGCTAATTGAATCCAGGTGCAATACGGAACAAACGTCATGACGTTCGTTGACCCTACTTCCTACCTGTCGAATGCTGTTTACAATGTGTTGAGCCACTCCCTAGCAGAACACCTTCCAAAACAGAGAATAAATTGTCATAGTTGCTGAGTCTCATATTTGTACCGCGTGCCGACGTACGTGTTGGGCGCGCCCACTATGTTACATGTTCGTTCTTCTTGCCTGCTTTTCGCCAAAGCACACCTCCAATTATCGCCGAAATTAAACCAAAATAGAACATCAACGAAGCCAGCATGTCTGACCATTGCAGCCTATGCAGTGGAATCTGATCTGTGCCAGATTGAGTTCTGCCGAACCAGGCGATTGCGGTCGGAGCACGGGCCCCCTCAAACTTCACAGCCTCTCCGCCCGCTGGAACGTAGACGATCACGGGAACATCATCGACAGGCGGCAGACTTGGGGATGGTGGAAGTGAGAACGTCTCCAGATTGAACCGTGCCACAACGACGGCTCCAGAATGAGAAGTCAGCAATCTTGCCGCTTTGGAAAAAACACTCGACGGCCGCTTGCAGGAAGCGCAATCAGAGTGATACAACTCGAGCAGAACCCCTCGACCATCGTACTCGAACAAGGACTTCCAGTCATCTTCGCTTAGCTCGAAGACCTCCCCGGGTACGGTTTGAACATGATTTTGGGCAAAAGTTTTCGCTTCCCTTTTGAACCACTCTGACTGTGATACATTCCCGGAATCATCGAACTGCGACACGTGCGGGTACAAACTGCTCTCCCTATACAACGTGTATATCGATTTCTGCGATACATTTTCTGTGTCACCTGAGTCAAGTACGCCAATATGTTCAGCAAACGCCCTGTGTTCTGACAGATTCGCAAAAAGAGAGAGAAACCGCGGTTTGAAATTCTGTTCAGCCGCAAGCCGCAAAAACTGGCGGTCATTATCTGACGGCACGTTATAACTGAAGACAATCGCCATTGGTCGCCTGCTTGATAAGATATACCTTCCCATAGATATGTCAAGTGAAGTAAAGTCCCGGTGATCCACGGCGAGGACGTGCATGAATGTCTCCATAGAATCCGACTCCTTCAGCTCTGGGAACCACCATTCCACATTTTCCCAAAAGTCAGCTCCCTGAGGAGCTCCCGCAAGGGCAGGCGAGGACAAAACATGCACTTTCGAATGATAGGAATCCAGCTTCTCGTAGTTCGTAGGTAATAACATAGATGGATCCGAAACAGCTGCGAATGCCACGGGCAAAGCTGCTCCATCTCGCATTTCTCTAGTCGTTTCTCTCCAGGCTTCGGCGGACACATGAACATGACGTGGATATATTGAGCTTAGTTGGACGCGTGGGTGGAACAAGCTGATAATTCTAGTTTGATGATGACTCTGTTCCAGGAAGTCTTCCAGTTCAGAACGCGATTCAATCAAACGAAAGGCTGGGGATAGGCGCGAGTGAAGGGTGGAAAGGACGAACTTCCACATGGCTTCCGGTTTGCGAGCGCCTTCGTATTGAGAAATTGCGTACCCAGAAGCAAACAATTTCATGGTAGGAAATCCACTGGCATGGACGGAAACCAAAATTTCATTGCTCGCCTTAGATGCATCAACTTGTGCAATAACGACGCGGTTGCTGTCTGTTATGTTTTCACCTTGATTATAATCTGCCACAAGTCCGGCAAGCGCTTCGTAGTGCGGGGCAAAGGCAATGCAATGGGGGCACCTTGGGTGAAAAAACAAAACCACAGAAAGCGATTCATGAGCGATGAGGCCTTTGAACTCGGTGACACCATTCACTCTTACAATTTTTTCGCTAAAAAGCGGAGCTGTCGAAGTTGAGCGGAGGACGACGAGAAAAACGATCACCCTGAGTGTGAGAGCATGTTCGCTCACCGTCCGAGACATCGTGTACGAGAATGCGCGCTTTCCGTCGACATACTGCACTGTAGATGGTGTACACTAGACCAACTTCGCAGAGGCTGTACCTTCCCCAAAAGGGAAATTCCGGACAGATATCAAAGAATTAACCGCAAAATTAACAAGTATTGCGTCTTGAGTCCCCAAAGCGCCTCCGTAAGCTTCAGCGTAGAATTTACTGGTGATATACCGCAAGCAGACGCAGGATTGAATTACATATGCCTGTAGTAACATGATAACACTGTATCATAACATATCACAACTGAGTATATATAGCCGCCGACGACGGCGAGACTCGAGAGTAAAGCAGACCAAGGAAGCTTGACACTACAGGTTATGGGCCAGTAATTTCACCGTCAGCCTCCCTTCACCCCCCACTCAATCCACGCTGGCCGGATCCCCAAGCGACGGTCCTCGCCGCAGCGAGCGCAACAACCCCGACGCACCCATCGTGGAACTCATCAGCGACACACCAGTCACCGTGCAGAAACGCGGCACAAGAGCCCTCCGAATCCACATCCCCCGATACGCGCAGCGCACAGCTCGCGCACACAAGCCCACCGCTTCCCCCGCCGCCTCCGCCCACTGACTACCCCGTCTCTCATCCTACCGAGATGTCCCTCACCTCCGACCGCCAACCGGAAACATGGAAAGCCGTCGTCACATCTCCCATCCTAGCAGCCGACCTCAGTAACTTCCATCAGTGGAAGCGCCACATCAGGCGGATGACGAAGCACTACATGTGCATCGAACTACTGACAGCCGACCCACCGGAAACGGCCGATTCGCTGACGCACAGCAATCATCGCAACCTCAATACCCTCTTGGCTGCGACGGTGGACCCCTCACTGGAAGGGTTTGTCTCCGAGGATAGTGCGTCCACATCGTGGACCCTCCTGCAGTCTATGGCCCCGAACCAAGACGTATACATCGAAACACTCAACACGAAAAGACTGTCGATCAATGTCCACGACCTGGGCCCGCAGGAATTCGTCAAAAGCCACCAAGACATTCACACAACCATCCTCGCCAGCGCCCTGGAGCACCACTGCGCGAAGCCGTCAGCATTCCTAGCACGCATTATGCACATCATTAAGGACGTACCGAAACTGGAAAACATCTTTGACCAGTTTGAGGAAGACGCTACTGTAAGGCTTACAGATGTGATGAAGATACTGCGCAAGGTGTCCAACAAGATGCAGAATCACACCGCCGCAGCCGCAATTAGCGCCCACCAACACGGCAGGACGCCACGTGGACACGGCGGTACGCAGGCTGCCAAGAAGTGCTAATGGCACCCCTACGCCAAGTCTCATTACACACACGAATGTAACGACCCGGGACGGGTCCACCAGCCGCCTCACCGCAACAACAACCGTCGCACCCATGACCGGGAAGTGGACTTAGCGGCACTTGTGCAACTCCTAGGGAACATAAACAGGGCCCCGGCGCCCGGATCTGATGCCAACGGCGCTTCAGCCACCGGCTCCTTGTATCCCACTACACCGCAAAGTCGATTTCTATTCGACACTGCGGCATCGCAAACCTTCGTCCCCCTCCATGACGAAAAAGCGATGATAGACTCCACCCCGTCCACCCGCATGGTCACTGTGGCCAATGGTGCTCGTGTCCGGGGGTCACGCGACGGCACCATCCAGCTACCAACCACGCCCTACCCGCTGACCACCGCTGCGATGTCATTGCCAGGGCTACATGACATCCTCCTATCCGGACAAGCTGTCACAAAACAGTATGACGCCATACTTCAAGGCAACCAGGTCTTCTTCACCACAAAGCAGCCCCCCCACCGCCACATATCATCAGAGCCATTGGCAAGGCCGAACGAGACGTATTTGTGGTACAACTCTCCTCAAACCCTAGCGGGCGAGAGGCTCGGAGGATGAGCCGAGGGAGCTCGCGACGCGAGACGCGCGGCGCGCGGTTACCGAACGGTCGGACTTGCGAAAAGGGAGTGGCACACTGGCCGGTTACGCGCAGTCGTCCCGAGGTGCTAGATCGGAGACGACCGGTAACGGGTTAGAAGCCAACGCGCGAGAGAATACCGAAACGGCGGTACGTAGGCGCGAAAGGGAGGGGGGCAAGTCTGCCCCCCGTGTTTACTGCGAGGACGGTGTCCAGGTCTTAACCCCTCAGAGGGACGCCCGGGACACCTGTCCAATACAGTACCTGTCACCTACTGTGGACCAGGTACTGTACGCGATTGAAAATCTAGCGCCGTCATTACACCACCGCACGGATCCTCACACTACGCGCTTGCATTACACTGCGCGCGCATTATCCCCACACGGTTCCTTACACTACACGTGTACCCAAGCGTACACCTGTCACTTGCTGCGCCCGTTCGGTAATCATACGTATTACACGTGGGCCACGGTGCCCCGTGCCCGCTGCGCGCGGCCGCTCCTACTGTACACCGACCGCGGATCGGTCGTTGTACCACAGACCCCCTTCCTTATCTGTCGCCACATCCTCGTGGCGACCACATTTTCTTCCCAGCGGTCCCCTCGATCTCTTCCACAACCTGTGCGTGCGATGACCGGACGGAAGCCTCTTCGCGCGGACGAGCACGCCTCGTGGCTCTTCACCGACCTGACGGTATATAAGTCGGGTATATCGTCCGATTCGGATAGCGCGGCTTCTGTCTCCTCCCACGCGAACCCCCCAGAACCACCAACTCCAACACAGCACTCCCCCACACTTCACCAACACTCCTCCATTCCTTCCCCAGACGACGACATTCCTTTATCCCAACTCTTCCCACGACCGACCATGGACCACAGCAACACCCCCGTGGACGCGCTTCCGATCGGTGCGCCGTCGAGCCCCGGGAGGGCTCCGGCGTTACCCGGGTCGACTCCCGCGTTTCAGCCGCAGCGCGCTCGCCGCGGCGGAACAGAGTCGACCACCAATTTGGCCGAGCCCGCGACGCGCTCGCGAGCTGATGCGTCCGATCCGGTCGCTGCGCCACCGATAGAAGAACGACCGACCTGGCCCTCGCCGCTGCCCTCCGAGGGTGTGGCTCCAAGGACGGTTGAGGCGGGTCCGGCGTACCCCGCGGTACTACCCCCGCCTCCCATGTCGCCGCTGCCTGCCGCGGGCACGGCGTCGCCAAGAGCCGATTTCGGTACTGTGCGCGAGACGCTGGCACCGCCGGCTGTCCTGCTCTCGTTGCGAGCCGAGCGGGGGTCGGCGCTATCGCTCGGGCGGGCCTTCACGACCCCCAGCGCGCCGAATTGGCTGAGAAGTGGCGTCAAGTCCGTCCGGTCGCTGCTGCCTGGGTCCTCGATGGACCACCGGCGGCGGCGAGCCCGGCGACGCGCTTCCGGTCGCAAGCCCCCGATGACGGTCGACGAATACGTGCGGCGCCGCCTCTTGGACTCGGCGCGATTCCAGGCAGTCCCTGCGAATCATGCCATCGTGACTCCGTCCGGGCGGGGTAGCGTGGCGCAGCAGAATCGGGCGGGCGCTTGGCAGGCCCGATGGCGACACGTGCCGTGCCGTACACCCGCCGCGGGTGGCAGCGACTTGCTCTACGTCCGGTGCGGTGGCGAGGAGCGGTACCACGTCACGCTCCTCAACCTATTCGGTCGGTACAGGCGCTACGATGGCGTCGTGCCGGACATCCGCTTGGTGGCCTTCCCGCGCCCTTTCGACAACTGGTACAGCATCGCGGACCGCGGCCGGTGGGGCGAGGACGCTGCGCGGGAGAGTCGGCTGCGCTGGCGCCGTGCAGATGACTTCTTCCATATGTGGCACAACACCGAGTTTTTCTCGGTGCCCAGCGCAGCGCGGCGAGGCCTGTATCCTTCGCTCCCTCCGGACTGGCCGGACCTCGAGGCACCGGAGCACCTTTGCGTGCCGACGCCGAGTGCGATGGCCTACGTCGCGGCGCATTGGTTGCCACGCGGTCGAGCGGAGTCAGCCGAAACGGAAAGCGCGCACGCTTGTGCGCGCGATCGTCTTGTCCGAATGGGCGGTGCTCGCGTTGTTGTGCTTCCTTCGGGCTGCCCGCGAGGGGTTGCCGTTCTTCACGAGGTGCCCCGACCCCCGGTTGGCTGCGAGGCGAGACGAGCCGCTCGGTGAGCGCGGCGTGCTCTTCCGCCTCTCGGTGGGGCTGATTGCCCTCATCCGTTCGGTCGGCGTCAAGGAAATCCTCGACGGTACCGCGTACGACGCGGCGCGCGCGGAACAGCTACTGACCTTCACGGCAAGTCTGGACTGGACCGGCCGGCCGGGCTTCGTATGGTTCAGCTGGGCCCGCGGCTGCGCGTTAGACATGCCGCCTTGGGTCAGCGACGAAGCGGGCGCGGTCGGCGACGACGCAGCATACGGAACCGTTGAAGCGGAAGGCCTTTACGAGGCACCGGCCGATGACGGTGGTGGGTCCTCGCTCGCGATCGCTGCCGATACGGTGGCGCCTGTCGCTACGCCAGCGCTACCCGCTCCCGGAGGGTCCACTCGTGTGGGCTCCATCCAGAGCGACTCGCCAAAGGGGGTCGCTCAGGAGCGGCGCGACTTAAGGCGTCCGGTCGGTGAGGCGGGATTTTCGGACCCACCCCCGGTCACTCAGCATATAAGCGCGGTGACCGGGGCCGAAACCGTATCGCGACCAGCAACGATGCCGAAACCTCCCACAAGTCAACCGCTCGGTCGAGTTCCCCCGGAGCGCCTCCGGGAGGAGGCCGCGCTCGCGGCGCTGCAGTACGCTTGCTCCTTTGAGGGGGCGGACGCCCCCTCCTCGGTCGAGGCGGCGCTACTGCAGGCGCGCGATTGGATGCTCCGGGTTCGGCAGCTCGAGAAGACCGTCGCGGTGTTACAGGAATCCTCTGCCGCGGCGACGCGCGAGCGTGCCGAGCATCACGCAAAGTTGCGCTCCGTACAGGACGTCCTTGCGGTGGTGAGCCAACGCCTGGCGGCGCCCCGGATGTCTTCTTCGACAGTCGGAGCCTCGCGCCCCGCGCCCGACG